TTTTTAAGGAAACACCATACCATTTTCCACAGTGGCTGTACCATTTGACAGTCCCACCAGCAGTGTATGAGGGTTCTGATCTCTCCAACACTCTCACCAGCATTTGTTATTTTCTGCCTTGTTGAATTTTGCTATTATTGCTGGGGTGAGATATCTCATTGTTGTTTTGATTTGTAGCTCTCTAATGGCTAATGATCAAAAACATTTCCTCATGTGTTTGTTGACTGTATATCTTCGTTGGTGAAGTGTCTGTTCATGTCCTTTGGCCATTTTTTAATTGGATAGTTTCTCTTTTTGATGTTGAGGTGTTGAAGTTTTCTATAAATTTTAGAGATAAGTCCTCTGTCAGATATGTCAAAGCTAAATATTTTTTCCCAATCTGTAGGTTCTCTTTTTACTCTTTTGGGGAAGTCTTTTGATGCACATAAGGATTTAAGTTTTAAAAGGTCCTAGTCAACTAGTTTCTCTTCTGCTACTTGTGTATTCTGGGTTATGCTTGATAGTCTAATTTATGCCACAAATTAGGGGCCCTATGTTTGCCTCTATTTTATCCTTGATAAACTTTATGGCTTGGAGTTTTACAGTTAGGTCTTTGATTCATCTTGAGTTTGACAACCACACTCAAATAATTGTACTTTCAGGGAATAGGTTTTGCTTGTTTATTGGTTATTCTGACATATCAACTGCCTCATGAATTCCTTTTTTTTGTTGAATGTGTCATATACACTTTTATCTAAAATCTGTACTTTCATACTTCTGAATATGGAAGAGCTTTTGTTACTAATTCTAAACAAATTCAAGACTATCATTTCTAACAATTTTTGGAACTGTTCAAAAACATATCTTCTTTTTTTTTTACCTTGGATCACCAAGCTCAGGCCTTATTAACTAATTTGTCTTGTCTTCTAAATATATTTAAGAAATATAACACAGAAAGTAATGTAAGACATAAATTGGAAATACATAAACTGTAAGATAATATAGAGCATGAAACCTATAGGAGGCTATTACAGTACTTCAAGAGAAAGATGTAATGAAAATCTGAACTAAGGCAGTACCAAAAGAGAAAACAAGAGAGAGAAAGAGGAAAAAAAATCCTTACTAGAATTATCACTAGACATTTTGTATGCAACAGAAAATGAAGGTCTAAGGGGCATCCAAGTTTTCTAAGACAGTCTTGACCATAATTCTCAAGATAGATATTGCAAGCAAGGAACAAGATTCAAATGGAAAAGTTTATAAGCTTTAGATGTGTTTGAGTTTTTGGCTTCTGCAAAACATCTATTAGGCAACGTTTAATAAGCAATGGGAAATATGGACTTGTCGAGAGAGACAGATGGATAGATCTTTGGGAGTTATGGAGTAAGAAATGAAAAGGGTTGAGATTTCCTAGTTAGAGCTTATACTGTGAGATAACATGAAAATTGAACATAAAAACAGGAAAACAACAACATTAAGGAATAGGAGGATGAAGAGAAGCCATAAAAAAAAAAAAAAAAGATAATGTGTTAACAGAGAGGTAGAAGAAAGAAACAAGGGAGAAGTTTCTATAACAGGGGAGGTGAGCACTTTGAGAGCAGAGTTGTCAAATGTTTTCAACAGCATGAGGAAGTAAGGTAAAGAATGAACTGAGGTCACTAAATCTTGATGCAACCTATGTGAGAGTAGTTTAAGACATAGGGAAAACCAGAATACAGTAATTTGAAGAGAGAATGAAAAAGAAGGAAGTTATCATTAGAATCCCAGGCTATTATTTTAAAAAGTATAGTGATGACATAGTAAAATAGATATCATGAGAGTAAAGTAGAATCAAGATAAGAATTTTTAAGATGGAGGAAACTTGAAACTTTTCTTGTGGGGAAAAATTATCTCTGTTACATAAGAATTTTTTTCAATGTGGAGAGATTGGGACTCTCATACACTGCTGGTGGGACTGTAAAAGGGTACAACCATTGTAGAAAGCAGTATGGCGATTCCTTCAAAAGTTGGAATTAGGAATACCATTTGAGCCAGCCATCCCATTACTAGGTATATACCCTAAAGAAGTGAGAGCCATGACAAGAACAGATATATGAACACCCATGTTCATGGCAGCACTATTTACAATAG